CCGGTCTGGGGGTGGGAAGCGGCAGCAGTAAGCACGGAAGGCAGGGAGCCTGTGTCTGGATTGAAGGCAGGTAGGTGTGCTTACTGGGATTGCAAAATGGAGGTGGTGTGGGTCTCGTTTGACTTTGTTTTGTTTTTTGAATGTTTTCTGCGGGGACAGCTCTTGTTGAGGTCCTGTGTTATGCATTGGAAGTGCTCTGTTTCTGCTTTAAGTCATTTACTGCTGCACCGTGCATTCGCCTACTCTATAGCCTGCTCTACGTTGGACATTGTGTTGAAGTAACATGAAGGCAAAAGGAAGAAGAAAGTGGGCTTGGAGGCTTAGCGGCAGAAAGAAGCTGTAAATTCCTTCATTGTTGGGCAGTGCTGATAAACAGAGCACATTTGCTAGCTGAAATCTCACAACAGGGAAGGAAAAAACTTGTTTATTCATGCCTTGCCAGTTGGCAGGTCTCTGTGTTTAGAGAGCATTCAGCCTTGAGTGTTGCTTGTTGCAAGCACAATATTTACTTAACTAACTTTCCCAGAAAAGGGGCAGTTGTCACAGCTATGGCTTTAGAATATGTTTGTACGATGATGTGAAGAGAGCGTATAAGTCATGATAGTTATTAAAAAGAAAAGGGGAAAAAAAAGGTGAAACACATCCTGTCATGATCTTATGTGCAGCATTATTATTTTACCAAACCACCAGAGTTGTTATCTCACCAAAGGATATATACTTAGTATGTCAGCTAAGCCTTATTATAGCAGAGGGTGGATCTTCCACCCACAATAGATTTCCTCAAAATATTCCCCACAGTGTGAGGTTTTCCTATCTCTCTGTGCTGTGTACATCCTTTACTGTTTTGATGGTGAATTATTCCTGGAATGCTGGGGTTTGAGGATGTTGCGTTATACGTTCCCCCTGTGTCCGCCCCCCCCCTTTTTTTTTTTTAATATGAGGAGTCTCTGCAAATAACCAGCTTTGCTGCGTTGCATCTGTTCTTATCTCTGAAACATGAATACCAAGCTGGCTGTGTTGTGATCTGTGAAGAACAGGAATAGGTGATGTCCTTGGGTACTGCAGCTCTTGTGCTTTTTGCAATCCAATTTTTAAAAGGGACTGAGGACTTTAACGCCCCAAGTGATGCATTTAAAGAAAAACACCTTCCCTAAGGGTTTGTTCTCTGAAGATAAAAATTCAACTTTTAAAGGTGTATCAAGCTGAGCGCTATGAATAATTAGTCACTTCTAAAATTTCAAATAAGTGAATATAAACTTATCTATATTTTATATATGTGTGTGTGTATGTGCAGACACATGTCTGTGTTAGTGCCTGCCCACGCTAGAAACTTTTTATATAATTGTTTTATTATAAGGAGGGTATGCAGCTTGTGGAGGTAGTTTGCAGTGTAACATGCGTTTTTACTTCCTTCGCTAATGTCAAAGAAGAGTAACTGCCTTAACCAGATTGGAAACGAAGCATGAAACTGTCATTTGAAGCCTTGTTGTGTTTCCAAGCACAGCTCCTACTTGAATGTAATGTTTTAAAACTTGCAGCAGCTTTTCTGGGGGGGAGAAAAAAACCCAAACATTGTAGTTTTAAAAATGTTCTATGTCTTCAAAATAAGTAAATTAAAAATGTGGCTCACCAGTCCATTGGACAATATTTAGCTGTGTCTATATGCTCAAATGGAAAGTGGCTATGTTGGTTTTCACTCTTTAGTGGCAAATGCTGCTCTGTCCCCTTGGAATAGGGCTGCACAGGGATTTATCAGCAAGATGTTTGGAGGAGCGGGGGGGGTAGGGGTGGGATTCAAGGGAGATGCTTTAAAAAAACTAACCAAAAACCTAGTGAAGACCAGATTGTCTAAAGGAGCTAGCATGGCTCATCGTCTGCCAACAAAAGGGATTGTTAAACTTCAGGGTGCTTCAGAAAATCTGGCCCCTAGCCTGGTGAGGGTTGAACTCCTCTGAAATATCACCCTAGAGTGCATATGAATTACTGGGAGTTTGAACCCTTCCAGTTTTAAATAGTGTGTTACCTGGAGGAAAAACCATCTCTTGCCAATCACGCTGCATCCCTCTGTCCATTGCAGTGGAATATGAATACAGGGAAAGTAATTAAAGTATTTCTAGCATTTTAAATGAAATTAGCACTAGGAAAGATGACTGTAGTCCATGGGGAGCAGACTGTTCGGGAACCCTTTTAGAAAGCTATCACAGATTAATATTTAGCTCATGTTGTACAATGTCATTGTAGTTCAAGTTGTGTAGTGGTGAAATCTTTTCAGCTCAGAGGCAACCTCTGCTTATACTAGCAGGGAATGTGATCTTTGAATCTTAAGGTGTGCTGCTTATATCTTTGTAGGAAGGTAATTCCTGAGGCTGAGAGAAATGGCAGTCCCAGATTTCTGCCATTTCAGATGTGAGTTTTGAAATGATTCCCTGCCTTAGTGTTGCCACCTTCAGTGTTGCTTATGCTGGGTTTTTTTTGAGGCAGAACATGAAGTTCTCTATAAATATAGCAGTTGTGTCATTTAAAGCACATGCACTTCAATTTTACTGCGTCCCTCTATTCTTAGTGTAGGAAATAGTGTAGTCAGCGTAGAGGGTATCTTCCATCAGGCTTTTGTGCTGAGAGCAGCCAAGTACAGAGCGTACACAGTGACTGATTGAACTAGACAGATCCTTGTAACCTCCTGCTTTTTCCTCTAGGTGCTTTGGAGCTGGTCAGTGATAAGCACATGTGTGGATGTGAATGAATTGAATTATGCTATAAAGGAACAAGGGCTGTTAGAGATAAATGGGATGCATAGTGTGCTTTAAAGCACCTAATAAGAGATCCTAGTAAATGGTTTGTGGTATGAAATTGCACCACTGATGAAGTACCACTGGAAAATCTGATCCTCTCCCTCACCCACCTAGCTCAGCCTTGCCTCAGTGGAAGGGACCACGGCTGACAGGCAAGGATAGCAGCGTAAGAGATGAAAACTTGTTGCTCAGGGCTTGGATTAGGAAAGGCTTTATTGCTAATACCTAGAGCTGGAATTAGCACCAGGCTTTGGAAACAAACTGAATGCTGTGGTTCCTGTCTGCTCAGAGAAAGGAGCAAGAATGTTTCCTTGAGGTGCTTCAAGGGTTATTTTTTGCTTTTTGATCCTGTGCTAAGATAGTAAATGCTGCTGCTGTAAATTGTCTTAGTATAAAGCTTGGCATGGTGAATCATAAGACTTGATTTCTTGGATCTTTCATTTTATTTTCTTTTCCCCTTACAAAAAAAGCTTTCATTGGTCTCTGGTTCAAGCGGAGGAGTTCTTAATGTCTTATTAGTATAGCATGTTTAACAAATAACCCAAACCTATTGAGATTAGGAGTGACAAGGGAGTGTTACTAAAATCTTTCACATGTTTCTTCTGGAATGAAAGTTGTTTTCCTTCCTCCCAGCTTTTATGCATTAGCATCCTTTTGTCATTATCAAGTTCAGGCTGAGTAATTCCTTGGGCCTTTCATATTGCTATGTGTTTTTTCCTTCCCATGTTACTCCACTCTCTGAAATCTTGACTTTCACTGAGTGCAGCACAAAAGATAACACCTGACTGCTGTCAAGTTGCATCAATGTTATCTGTCCATTGATGGCTTGGCCCCAACAGCAGTGTGCTGCTGTGTGTGAACTGCTGCTGCTTGGGAAATTCTTGCTGCAGTTTAGGCACGTGTGTGTGTACATGTGCGTACTTGGGTTGCAAGAACATGTTCATTTGAGCAAAATACTTCTTAATCTGGATTTATCAAAAATAATACAGTTCTGCGTTGGCCAGTACAACAAATACCTATGTTGGTCTGTTCACAACTAGTTTGACCACCTTTGAGATATTTTTAAAGATTTCTTTAAGCAGTGTTCCCAAATATGACCCTACAACTCTTAAAGTTCAGGTTTGGGCCTGTTAGTCCAAGCGTTACAGTTGTTTTGGGGAGTTGGTTGATTCTTGGTTTTTGAAGCAGAGTGATTTTGCTGCAATAAGCTCAGGTCTGCTGGGTTTCAGAGCACTTCTACTGCCTTACAGATGGAGATGGCCAGGGCACGAAGGTGCTGACTCAGTACCTGAGCTGTCTTGATTCCTCTTTGTTTGTCTGTGTAATGGTGGAAATCCCTTTTTACTGGCAGTCCACAAGCCTGACGGTCATGCAGGAAATGCCTTTTTTTGGTTGTTTCCACCTCCTGCTCTGAGCAGCTTATCTCTGTAGGATCACTTGTTGAGTACTTGCTTCATTTACACTCTTTCCCCTGTTTCTTTTGCCCAGGAAGGATACATGACTTGCTGAAAAGAGAGAAAATGCTATGCTGGGGATACTCGTCTTTTGGACAACCTGGGATAGGTAGCAACCTCCAGGTCATCATTCCTGAACCGCGGGTGTATGCATTCATTCATGACAGAAATGTCAAGGAGGTGGCATGTGGAGGAAACCACTCTGTCTTCCTTTTGGAAGATGGGGAAGTGTATACCTGTGGCTTGAACACCAAAGGCCAACTGGGGCATGACTGTGAAGGAAGCAAGCCAGGTAAGTCTGCTGCTTGTGTGTGCTTCAAACTGTCTTGAGGCTGGTGGACTGAGAAGATTATGGAAGCTGCTTTGTCTTGATTGCTCTGGAGCTGGAGCAGCTAACAGAGCTGAAGGTCATGTGTAATAATACAGTAGTGATGCTGAATAATATCTGCTGGCTCTGGAAAGCTAAAGCTGAGCAGCATGGGTGGGGAGACAGGTCTGCTCAGTTTTTCTGGGAAATGCATCAAAACAGAGGCGAGCGCAGATGGTCTCAGGGCAGACTTTGTTATTTGGCATTATGTTGCCTTTTTATAAAAGGGAAGAGAGGGCCATGAGTCACAAGTGTCTTCTGCTTTGTCTTTCCAATTGCATTGCATCTTTATGCCTACTCTTGTTCAGTTGTTGTTGTGAATTTTGTCATTTAAATCAAAGAGAAGAGATCTGTGCTGAGTATAGTTGTGGAGAAAAAAATTTGGTTTTGGCCAAGAGCGTTTGTAAATCTTGGTGGTGTTTCCCCTCTTGGAAATATCTTGTTGGCTTGAGCCTTCACCTCTTCATGCTTTCTTATTCTAGAAGGTCATTGTAGCCTTGTGTTCCTCAGACTCAAATTGCTTTGTCTTCATTGTGTTTCAAGAGGCAGAACCTGTGTGTACAGAACCACAGGCAGCTAATGCCTCTTCTTCCTAGGTGGTGTACTTGTGTATTGTTGTTTTGAGAAACTCTAAAGCCTTTCTTAGGGACTTTCTTTTTGAATGTTGGCCTTCTAGTTCACCTTCCATTAGCTTCTTGGTTTGTGGCATGTGGTAAAGATACAGGTACTTCTGTTTCCATAATATAATAAAATCCCTCCATGGGTAATTACAGCAATAACACATCATCTTTCCTCAAACTGCAGGCTACCCTCTGTAGGGCTTGAGGCTTCTGTACTGTACCCTATTGTTGCACAATAGAGACAGGAGATGTGTACAGAATAGCCACAGTTCCCCATGTAGTATGTGCAAATCTCACCTGACTGATTCCACTGCTCCTTTTTTCTGTCAGTGTGTCTTGTCTCTTTCTTTCTAAATGGGGTGGTAGATGTTGGATGCTGGTTGTCTGTGGTGCTAGATTAGAGGAGCTGACCTTGAATGTGGCCTCTCTTGCTTTTCCTACAAGTGATTTCCAGACAACTACTAAAACAGGTTGGGATTATCAGGAGTGCTTAAGTCCTCTTTGTGCACAATTGCTGCTCATCTTCTGAGGACTGGTAAGTTTAGGCCCTGGAGTGATGAGATGCCTAGGAAGTGAAGCCTAGTGAATATTCCACCCAACCTGATGATGATACTTCATCCTGTGAATCACCTAACCAGCTGCATGACTCTAGTGCAGAGGCTCCAGAAGTTCAGTACTGTTCTGAATGCTGTAAAGATGTGTAGTCTGAGAAACATCTTTGGGCTAGCCTGCTGTTTACCCATAAAATAAAGCAAGCATAAGATGATAATGAAAATGGAGGCTTCACAGCGAGTAGAAGATCAGAGCTGGAAATGAATCTCATGAATGCTGAAGTGTAGCCCTCTAGCACCTAGGTTAACTCTGCCTTCAGCTAGGGCTGTAGAAGAGGGGCAGTCTGAGATTTGGAAACGGATATAAAAAGTTCTTTGGGTTTGATCCCAAGTGCCCTTCTACTCCTTAAATTAAGGGACTGTCACTAAGATGTGATGCCAACTCTCAGTTATCCTGCGGGTTTCACTTATTCTGAAAATGGTTCTGCAGTGCTGCTTTCTGAGGAGCCTGTGACCATCCTTGAGAAACTGTTTCTCTACTTGCACAGCACTACTAGTTGTGCCTGCAGTGGGGTTTCTGGCTGTGGCAGGTGGGAAGGATGTGCTGTAAAGCAAGGAACAGCTTCCCTTTTTAGCTCATGGTGAATAGTCACAGCAGTTTTCATGATAGCAGTAGAGTGGGGGAGAGTTGCATCCCACACACTGCTTTGTGTGGGTCTGCTTTGGCTTGCGGCAGTGGGAGCTGAATTTCTTAGTTCTCCTGCAAATAGGAACAAGAAGAATCAAGTCGTCCTCTTTCACCTCCACCTCCCCTGCATGGGATAAAGATGACCTTGCACCTTCTGTAGAGAAAGGCATGTCAAAGATCGTCTTTCTTGTTCTCCACTAGTTGTGGACCTATGAATGAAGCCGTGTCTGATAGGAAGTGAAGATGTGTATGTCTGGGGCATAGGGTCTGGGACTGTTGAGGTTGATAGAGAGGACTGTCAGGAGGTGTCCGAGGTCAAGAACAGGAGAAATGCCTGGAACTGGGAGTCTTGCAGTTGCATCTCTTTGCCTCTGCTGGACAGGATGGTGTGGGCTGAGGCCTCTTGCTTTTACTGCCTTATGGCATGATTCTGCCTAGCCTGTGAGGGCAGCTAGAAGTGGCTGACCTCTGCCCAGCTCTGGAAGTGAGCTGCACCTCCTGCTGCAGGAGGTTGAGAGACAGTACTGATTGTCACCTCCAGGCAGCCCCTTGGAGAGCCCCTCTGGACTTCAGAAATGCTTACCATGGCCTGCAGAGTGGTGTGGTTGTATATGAGAGTGACATCAAGGTATGAAGACATGCAGGGGGTCTTGAGCCTTTTGAAAGCTAGATGACTTCAGAGGGTTGGAGCGATCTCCTTCCTGTTGCCCTGTCTGTACTCATCAGAAGAAACTCCCTTTTATCTCTCATACTTTTGTATGTGTATGTGAGGCTTATGCTGCCAGCATGCTAAAAGCTTCCATTAGTGTTTTCAGAATATACGGTCATGTTTAATCAGAGATGGTTATTTCCCAGGATGATGTCTGCTTGCGAATAAAATTCTGGGACTTTGCAGTACACTGAGCATGGATCTAACCCTGGTTTCCTTGCAAAGCTTGCAGGTTTTACTACTGACTTCCAGTGGGAGGAGAGTTGTTTCATTTTCACTGAGTGCTTTTGAAGACTTTGCCTCCCTTTCTTACCTTACCGCATATTCCAAATAATTACTTTTTTCTCTTGTTCTGCTGCCCATTTACACATATCTTGTAGTAGGAGGATTCAATTTTGCTTCTCAATTCATGTTACTCACAAAAATGTCAAACAGTGGCACAGAATTGTTTCAGCAATTCTTCTTAGAGGAATCCTTTAGAGGACACATTTTGAAATGAAAGAAACTTGTTAATTAAAAAGCTGTGTTTACTGTCACACCAGCTGAGCTTGTGGATATAATGCAGAGATAGGATAGCAGCTGTTGAGGTGATTCTTGTGCCTCTCCAGTACAGGGAACAGAAATTACTGGGGGCGTGCGTGCCACAGAGAGTATGAGGCAATAGAGGATTATTTTCTGGAAGTGCTCTTTACTTGGATTTTACGTTGTACTGCTAAAAATTAATATTTAAGATTCCCAAGAAGTTTATCCTAACTAAAACAACATTCCTTTCAACTAAAAGCTGACAGCTTTCAATTCCCCACTACTGAGCTAGGGTGATAGTGGGTGTGCCACTCCTGTGGGCTCCATGAAGACCAATCTCCCCACATTGTCCTGCTATTTACTATTTCATTCCCTCTTTGAATTGTGGTGGTTAGTGAGCTACTTGGAGTCCCTTCCTCTCAGGGATGGATACCTGGCTTTGTTAATATTGAAATGATTGGGTTTTGTTGTTTTTTTTTTTTTTCTTTTTCCCCTGAAACATTCTGTAGTTTGTGTTTCTACAGTCACTTGGCTGGGATGCAGAGGGGGAGACACTGTCCCAGTGTTCTCTCACCAAGACCATAGTTAATAAAGCTTCTGTCTGGCCTGTCCTAATTTTTATGTGTATTGTTTTGCACTTGGAGTCCTCTGAGTCTCTCAGTGTCTTAGGAGAAGCAACTTAGTGATCTTTGTTGTAAAGTGTTGAGCTCCCTGTTCTGCAAAATCAGTCTGAGTTTGTGTTAATTTCCTGAGTATCATCAAGGTGTTAACTTACTGTCTGTTTAGCCTGTACCGGGGCTAAACTACAGCAGTGATTCTATTGCCTGATAACCCCTCCCCAGTGGAGAAGGGGCATTGGGAAAAGGAGAGGAGATCTAAAGGTTGAAGCAAGGACAGATTTAATGAAATAGAAAAACAAATAAAGTATGCAAAGTTGTACTCAGCCTAGAATGCTTGTCCCTCACAGTCCGTGGGAAGGAGAAGGAAAGAGGAGGAGGAACAGAAGAAACCCCAGCAGGAACTCACACAGGAGCTCCTTCTCCTCAGCAAACCTTCCCCCTTTATAGTGACGATGACATTATGTTATGGGCCACACCTGTAGCTCACTCAGGTCAGCTGCCCTGGCTGACTAAACTTCTAACAGCCTGTCTAGCATGGCTGGGCTGTGATTCTACTCCAGCCAAACCTGGACATATATGTTATGTCTGTAATGGGAAGTGATAATTTTCTACTGCAGTAGTTTTAGGAAAAAATTCTCTGTAACTATATCTAAATTTCCACTTCAACCCCACAGCTTCACTTGGATTTTCTTCAGGTCTGACATGATGTCTTGACACTCCCTGTGATGATTCTTGGCTATGTGTATGCGTATGCTGGGGAGCAAAAGACAGGCCCAGGTACCTAAGGTAAATGCTCTTTTGGGCTTCGGGCTGAATTATAGAGGAGTATGAAATAACTAGCTGGTTGTTAGCCATTTTTAAAGCTTTAAAAACATGCTTGAGTCTGAGATGTGGAACTTGTTTTCTGGTCTAGAGGTTTGTTCTCTGCAAGTCATTTGGACTTCGTTTGACTTGTGCTAGTAAGAAAAGCTGGGCTTTGGTGTCTCAAGAGAGTTACAGGAAAATGTCTGGTGCCAAATCTGCTTTGGACCTTTCCTCTGGTAGTATACAGCAGACAAAACTATGCTTTTTGTACCAAATTTCCTATCTGGATGCAAATGTGCAGGGTAGCATTGCTTCTGTGTGCATTGTGGAATCTGTCTGCTCATAGCTGCAGGGCTAGAAGTGTCATTATGTTCAATCTCTTTCAAAAAGCAGGAAAAAATGCCACCAAAA